GGGGGGGGGGGGGGGGGGGTGGGGAGTCTGATAATTAGGGCTTGGTTTAAATATCATGTGACCCTCCCAGGGGAAGCCAGTGGAGGCGGCTGGATGTTTGGGTCTGGGCTTGTGGGGGGCCAGGCTGGTTTTAGGGTAAAACAGGAAAGACAGGCCCTGTGGGGAGTGGTTGACCTTCCGCCGTCTGGACCAGGGCTGGGGCAAGAGTGGGGCACTCTCAGAGCTGTAGGCTGGAGAGGGGACGGTCCTCCTGGCCTCTCAGCCCGCAGCATGAATCAAACTGCCACTCCAGACTAATTGCTTTCCCTGTTGAGAGGCTGGCAAGGGGACAGAAAGCCTCGGGGGAGGAGGGGGAAGGGCTTGGAGGGAGGCCGAGAAGCTGTCTTTCTTGCCTGTGCTCAAGATCTCGATATGAGCCAGCCCTGGCTGCAAGCCCCGAGTCCTGCCTCTAAGACAAACCCTAAATCTGTCTCTCGCCTGCTCCCTACTGTCCCGTGGTTCCCAGCACCCCCAGAACAAATTCTCAGAAGCCCCTGGGACCCCACCTGCCCCAGGCCCTACCCACAGCTGCCTCTCACCTTCCTCCATCTCCCCGTAGCTCAGCTGGCCCCAACCCCACCTAAACCTGCCTCAGGACCTTTACACGTGCTCTGCCCTCTGCAGGGAACGCCCTTCCCCCAGCTCTCCCTCAAGGCTGGCTACTTGTTTTCATTTATTCAACTTAAATGTCACCTCCTGGGAGATGCCCTTCCTGCCCAGCCTGCAGTGTCATTCCCACTGACCCATCCCCAAATCCTATTCTTTTTGTTAGTTGGACATCCAACTCCCCAGCCTGTGAGCCTCCACGTCCCCCATGCCCAAAGCTGGGCCCAAAGCATAGTAGATGTTCCATGTGCAGGTAGAATGACTGATGCTGTAAATTGTGTGCTTTGGGGGAACACGGGAGGGGGGGTCCCCTCTGCACAGAGGAAGAAGGTGTGGCTCAGAGAAGGAGCTGCCTGCCAGGGCTCGCTGGGGCCTGACCAGGGCCTTCCCACACACCACGTTAAAAAGGAGGAACGGGAGGGGGTGTCCGTGTGGCTCAGTTGGTTAAGCGTCCGACTTCAGCTCAGGTCATGATCTCACAGTCCTGCGCTGACAGCTCAGAGCCTGGAGCCTGCTTCAGATTCTGTGTCTCCCTCTCTCTCTGCCCCTCCCCTGCTCATTCTCTGTCTCTCTCTGTCTCAAAAATAAATAAAAACATTAAAAAAAAAAAAA